GGGAATGGGATGAGAAATGGGATGGGAACGGGAATGGGAACGGGGGTGGGAATGGGAATGGGAATGGGGTGAGAAATGGGGTGGGAATGGGAATGGGAACAGGAATGGGGTGAGAATGGGAACGGGGTGGGAATGGGAACAGGATAGGAACGGGACAGGAACCGGGTGGGAATGGGAATGGGAATGGGGTGGGAATGGGGTGAGAATGGGAACGGGAATGGGAACAGGGTGGGAATGGGAATGGGAATGGGGTGAGAATGCGATAGAATAGGAATGGGAACGGGCATGGGAATGGGGTGAGAATGGGATAGAATGGGAACGGGATCGGGACGGGAATGGGGTGGGAATGGGAACGGGGTGGGAATGGGAATGGGAATGGTAACAGGAATGGGGTGGCAATGGGGTGAGAATGGGAATGGGAACGGGAATGGGAACGGGGTGAGAATGGGATAGAATGGGAATGGGAATGGGGTGGGAATGGGACGGGAACGGGATGAGAATGGGAATCGGGTGGGAAATGGGGTGGGAACAGGGTGAGAATGGGAATGGGGTGGGAAACAGGATGGGAACGGGATGGGAATGAGGACGGGAATGGGATAAGAATGGGGTGAAAATGGGGTGAGAAACGGCCATCACCCCAAACCCCACCCCAAACCCATGACCCCAAACCCCATGACCCCAAATCCCACACCCATGACCCCAAACCCCATGACCCCAAACCCCAAACCCCATGACCCCGCACTGACCACGTCGATCTCGGTGTTGGAGTGCCCCATGTTGCAGACGATGCAGCCGTTTTTCATCCTGTCCAGGTGCTCCCTGCTCACCACGTTCTTGTTCCCTGCGGGAGCCAAAATCCTGAGAAACCCCACAGAAATCCCAAAAAACCCGCCGGATCCCAAAAAACACACCAGATCCCCAAAAAAACCCCACCACATCCCAAAAAAACCCACTGGATCCCAAAAAAACCACACCGGATCCCAATAAACACCACCAAAATCCTGATAAACCCCACAGAAATCCAAAAAAATCTACCAGATCCCAAAAAACCACACCAGATCCCAAAAAAACCCCACCAAAATCCCATTAAACTCATCAGATCCCAAAAAACCCTGGGCAGATCCCAATAAACCCCACCAGATCCCAAATCCCCATGTTTTAGGGCACATTTTGGGGTCAGAATCCCAATCCCCATGTTTTAGGGCAGATTTTGGGGTCAGAATCCCAATCCCCATGTTTTAGGGCACATTTTGGTGTCAGGATCCCAATCCCCATGTTTTAGGGCACATTTTGTGGTCAGGATCCCCAATCCCCATGCAATAGGGCAGATTTTGTGGTCAGGAGCCCCAATCCCCATGTTTTAGGGCAGATTTTGGGGTCAGGATCCCCAATCCCCCATGGATTGGGATGGATTTTGGGGTCAGGATCCCAAATCCCATGTTTTAGGGCACATTTTGGGGTCAGGATCCCAAATCCCCATGTTTTAGGGCAGATTTTAGGGTCAGGATCCCAAATCCCCCATGTTTTAGGGCACATTTTGGGGTCAGGATCCCAAATCCCCGTGTTTTATCGCAGATTTTGGTGTCAGGATCCCAATCCCCATGTTATAGGGCAGATTTTGGGGTCAGGATCCCAAATCCCCGTGTTTTAGGGCAGATTTTAGGGTCAGGATCCCAAATCCCCGTGTTTTAGGGCAGATTTTGGGGTCAGGATCCCAATCCCCCATGTTTTAGGGCAGATTTTGGGGTCAGGATCCCAATCCTCGTGTTTTAGGGCAGATTTTGGGGTCAGGATCCCAAATCCCAATGTTTTAGGGCACATTTTGGTGTCAGGATCCCCAATCCCCATGTTTTAGGGCAGATTTTGGGGTCAGGATCCCAATCCCCCATGTTTTAGGGCAGATTTTGGGGTCAGGATCCCAAATCCCCGTGTTTTATCGCAGATTTTGGTGTCAGGATCCCAATCCCCATGTTTTAGGGCACATTTTAGGGTCAGGATCCCAAATCCCTGTGTTTTTAGGGCAGATTTTTGGGTCAGGATCCCAAATCCCCCATACCCGTGCAGGTGATGACGATGTCCACCTGTCTGATGACCTCATTGAGCTTCACCAGCCGGAACCCGTCCATGCTGCGGGAAAACGGGACAAAATGACCCTCCGACCCTAAAATTAACCTCACAACTCCTGGGAAATGGGACAAAGTGACCCTCAGACCCCAAAGATAACCACACAACTCCTGGGAAACGGGACAAAATGACCCTCAGACCCTAAAATTAACCCACAACTCCTGGGAAACGGGACAGAGTGACCCTGAGACCCCGAACACAACCCCACAACTGCTGGGAAACGGGACAGAGTGACCCTCAGACCCTAAAATTAAACCCACAACTCCTGGGAAACGGCACAAAGTGACCCTGAGACCCCAAAGATAACCCCACAGTTTTCCCGCAGTCCCGTTAGGATCAGCCCCGTTAGGATCAGCCCCATTAGGATCAGTCCCATTAAGATCAGCCCCTTTGGGATCAGCCCCATTGGGATCAGCCCCTTTGGGATCAGTCCCATTAGGATCAGTCCCTTTGGGGTCAGCCCCATTAGGATCACTCCCATTAGGATCAGTCCCTTTGGGGTCAGTCCCTTTAGGATCAGCCCCGTTGGGGTCAGTCCCTTTGGGATCAGTCCCTTTGGGGTCAGCCCCGTTAGGATCAGTCCCTTTGGGGTCAGCCCCGTTGCGATCAGCCCCATTAGGATCAGCCCCATTAGGATCAGCCCTGTTAGGATCAGTCCCATTAGGATCAGTCCCTTTGAGGTCAGTCCCTTTGGGGTCAGCCCCATTAGGATCAGCCCCGTTTTCCCACAGCCCCATTAGGATCAGCCCCTTTGGGGTCAGCCCCGTTAGGATTGGTCCCGTTAGGATCACTCCCATTAGGATCACTCCCATTAGGATCAGCCCCATTAAGATCAGCCCTGTTAGGATCAGTCCCATTAGGATCAGTCCCATTAGGATCAGTCCCTTTGGGGTCAGCCCCGTTTTCCCACAGCCCCATTGGGATCAGCCCCGTTAAGATCAGCCCCGTTAGGATCAGGCCCTTTGGGGTCAGCCCCATTAGGATCAGTCCCTTTGGGGTCAGTCCCTTTGGGGTCAGTCCCTTTGGGATCAGCCCCATTGGGATCAGCCCCGTTAGGATCAGCCCCGTTAGGATCAGTCCCATTAGGATCAGCCCCTTTGGGGTCAGCCCCATTGGGATCAGTCCCTTTGGGGTCAGTCCCTTTGGGATCAGCCCCATTAGGATCAGCCCCGTTGGGATCAGCCCCATTAGGATCAGCCCCATTAGGATCAGCCCCTTTGGGATCAGTCCCTTTGGGATCACTCCCATTTATATCAGCCCCATTAGGATCAGCCCCATTGGGATCAGTCCCTTTGGGGTCAGTCCCTTTGGGTTCAGTCCCATTAGGATCAGGCCCATTAGGATCAGCCCCTTTAGGATCAGTTCCATTGGGATCAGCCCCGTTAGGATCAGTCCCTTTGGGGTCAGCCCCGTTAGGATCAGTCCCTTTGGGATCAGTCCCTTTGGGGTCAGCCCCGTTAGGATCAGTCCCTTTGGGGTCAGCCCCGTTAGGATCAGTCCCTTTGGGGTCAGCCCCGTTGCGATCAGCCCCATTAGGATCAGCCCCATTAGGATCAGCCCCGTTAGGATCAGTCCCATTGGGGTCGGTCCCTTTGGGATCAGCCCCATTAGGATCAGCCCCATTAGGATCAGCCCCTTTGGGATCAGTCCCTTTGGGATCAGTCCCATTAGGGTCAGCCCCGTTAGGATCAGCCCCTTTAGGATCAGCCCCATTGGGATCAGCCCCTTTGGGGTCACTCCCATTGGAACCAGCCCCATTAGGATTTGTCCCTTTGTCCCCTCACCAGGCCTGTAGGGCGCAGATGGGGTCGATCTCGGTCACGTAGACGATGGATCCCATGGCCTTGAGCGCGGCGCAGCAGCCCTTCCCCACCTGAAACGAGAGGGGCGGGGCTAAAGGGGGCGGGGCCAAAAGGGGTGGGGCTAAAAGGGGAAACGACAGCACCAGGGAACCCACCCCATACCCACCATGGGGGAAATCCTAAACCTGGGGGGTGAAACCCCATTCTTTGGGGAAAGAAATCCCATTGCTGAGGGGTGAAATCCCCTTTTTTGGGGGGTGAAATCCCATGCCTGGGGGGTGAAATCCCATTTCCAGAGGGTGAAATCCCATTGCTGAGGGGTGAAATCCTATTCTTGGGATACAGAATCCCATTGCTGTGGGGTGAAATCCCATTGCTGAGGGACAAAATCCCATTTCCAGAGGGTGAAATCCCATTCCTGGGGGGATGAAATCCCATTCCTGAGGGACGAAATCCCATTCCTGGGACACTGAATCCTATTCTTTGGGGAAAAAAATCCCATTCCTGGGACAATAAATCCCATTCTTTGGGGGTGAAATCCCATTCCCGGGGAAAGAAATCCCATTCCCGAATCCATAGAATCCCATTGCTGAGGGTGAAATCCCATTCCTGAGGGGATAAAATCCCATTCCTGGGAGGACGAAATCCAACATTTGAATTATTTTCCAGAATATTTGATTTTTCCCCAGAATATTTCAATTTTCTCCCCAAAATATTTGATATTTTCCCCAGAATATTTCAATTTTCTCCCCAAATATTTGATATTTTCCCAGAATATTTCAATTTTCTCCCCATAATATTTCATTTTTTCCCAAAATATTTCAATATTTTTTCCCAGATTTTTTTCCCAGAATATTTCATTTTTTCCCAGAATATTACAATTTTTTCCCAGATTTTTTTCCCAGAATATTTCATTTTTTCCCAAAATATTACATTTTTTCCCAGATTTTTTTTCCCAGAATATTTCATTTTTCCCCAGAATATTTCAATATTTTTTCCCAGATTTTTTTTCCCCAGAATGTATCATTTTTCCCCAGAATATTTCAATATTTTTTCCCAGATTTTTTTCCCAGAATATTTCATTTTTTCCCAGAATATTACATTTTTTCCCAGATTTTTTTTCCCAGAATACATAATTATTTTTTTTTAAAGACTCAACTTTGCCATCTCCTTCCTAATAAAAAAACCCACAAAAAATCTTCATTTTTTGGGAAACCCCTGAGATTTTCCAAGCAAAATTCCCAGGAAAAAATGGGAATTTTCTCCCCCTTACCTCCCCATAGCCACAAACCACCACCTGCTTCCCCCCAAACATCATATCCGTCGTCCTCTTCAGCCTGAAAAAAATGGGAAAAAAATCCCAATTAAACCCTTTTTAATTAATTCAAAATTAATTAATTCATCAACCATAACGATGCTATTTTAAATGCCATTTTAACAATATTTTAATGCTATTTAAACACTATTTTAATGCCATTTTTAACCCTATTTTTAATGTTATTTTAACACTTTTTAATGTTATTTTTACACTATTTTTAATCCTATTTTTAGTGTTGTTTCTAATGGAATTTTAGACATTAAACATTTTAAACAATATTTTTAACACTATTTTTGATGCCATTTTTAACACTATTTTTAATGCTATTTTAATGCTATTTTAAATCCCATTTTTAACAATATTTTTAATGTTATTTTTACACTATTTTTAATCCTATTTTTAGTGTTATTTTTAATGTCATTTTAAACATTAAACATTTTAAACAATATTTTTAACACTATTTTTAATGCCATTTTAAACAATATTTTAAATGTTATTTTTAATGCTATTTAATATTTTTTAATGTAATTGTAATGTTATTTTAAATGCCATTTTAAACAATATTTTTAATGTCATTTTTAACACTATTTTTATGCTATTTTTATGCTATTTTGACCCTACTTTTAATGTTTTTTATGCCATTTTTAACACTATTTAACACTATTTTTAACACTATTTTAATGCTATTTTAATGCTATTTTAAATCCCATTTTAACAGTATTTTTAACATTATTTTAAATGCCATTTTTAACCCTATTTTTAATGCCATTTTAACACTATTTTTAATGTTATTTTTACACTATTTTTAATCCTACTTTTAGTGTTATTTTTAATGTCATTTTAAACATTAAACATTTTAAACAATATTTTTAACACTATTTTAATGCCATTTTTAACACTATTTTTAATGCCATTTTAACACTATTTTAAAAGTTATTTTTAATGCTCTTTAATGTTTTTTTAATGTAATTGTAATGCTATTTTAAATGCCATTTTTAACAATATTTCTAACATTATTTTTAATGTAATTTTTAACACTATTTTTTATGCTATTTTTTATGCTATTTTGACCCTATTTTTAATGTTTTTTATGCCATTTTTAACACTATTTAACCCTATTTTTAATGCCATTTTTAACACTAATTTTATGCTATTTTTCATGCAATTTTAATGCTATTTTAAATGCCATTTTTAACAATATTTTTAACACTATTTTTAGTGGTTTTTACACTATTTTTAATGCCATTTTAACCCTATTTTTAATGTTATTTTTACACTATTTTTAATCCTATTTTTAGTGTTGTTTTTAATGGAATTTTAAACATTAAACATTTTAAACAATATTTTTAACACTATTTTTAATGCCATTTTTAACACTATTTTTAATGCTATTTTAAATCCCATTTTAACAATATTTTTAATGCTATTTTTAATGCCATTTTAACAATATTTTTAATGTTATTTTTACACTATTTTTAATCCTATTTTTAGTGTTATTTTTAATGCCATTTTTAACACCATTTTAAATGTTATTTTTAATGCTATTTAATGTTTTTTTAATGTAATTGTAATGCTATTTTAAATGCCATTTTTAACAATATTCTTAACAATATTTTAAATGCCATTTTTAACCCTATTTTTAATGTTATTTTAACACTTTTTAATGTTATTTTTACACTATTTTTAATCCTATTTTTAGTGTTATTTTTAATGTCATTTTAAACATTGAACATTTTAAATAATATTTTTAACACTATTTTTAATGGCATTTTTAACACTATTTTTTATGTTAATTTTAACGCTATTTAATGTTTTTTAATGTAATTGTAATGCTATTTTAAATGCCATTTTTAACAATATTTTTAACATTATTTTTAATGTCATTTTTAACACTATTTTTTATGCTATTTTTTGTTATTTTGACCCTATTTTAAATGCTATTTTTATGCCATTTTTAACACTATTTAACACTATTTTTAATGCCATTTTTAATACTCTTTTATATGTTATTTTAATGCTATTTTAAATCCCATTTTTAACAATATTTTTAACACAATTTTAAATGCCATTTTTAACAATATTTTCAATGTTATTTTTACACTATTTTTAATCCTATTTTTAGTGTTATTTTTAATGTTATTTTAAACAATATTTTTAACACTATTTTTAACGCCATTTTAACACTATTTTAAATGCTATTTTTAATGCTATTTAATGTTTTTTTTAATGTAATTGTAATGCTATTTTAAATGCCATTTTTAACAATATTTTTAACATTATTTTAAATGTCATTTTTAACACTATTTTTTATGCTATTTTTTATTTTAACCCTATTTTAAATGCTATTTTTATGCCATTTTTAACACTATTTAACCCTATTTTAATGGCATTTTTAACACTATTTTATGCTATTTTTAATGCTATTTTAATGCTATTTTAAATCCCATTTTTAACAATATTTTTAACATTATTTTAAATGCCATTTTCACCCTATTTTTAATGTCACTTTTAACAGTAACATTATTTTTAACACTATTTTTGATCCTATTTTAATATTATTTTAATGTTACTTTAAACAATATTTTTAACACTATTTTAATGGCATTTTTAACACTATTTTTATGCCATTTTAACACTATCTTAAATGTTATTTTTAATGTCATTTAATGTTATTTTTAATGGTATTTTTAATGCTATTTTAAATGCCATTTTAACCCTATTTTTAATGTTATTTTTAACACTATTTTTTATGCTATTTTTATGCTATTTTAACCCTATATTTAATGTTATTTTTAACACTATTTTTATGCCATTTTTAACACTATTTAACACTATTTTATTGCCATTTTAACACTATTTTAAATGTTATTTTTAATGCTATTTAACAATATTTTTATGCCATTTTTAACACAATTTTAATGCTATTTTTAACACTATTTTTATGCTATTTTTAACCCAATTTTTAATGCTATTTTAACCCTATTTTAAATGTGTTATTTAATGTTTTTAATGTTATTTTTAACACTATTTTTGTTATTTTTATGCTATTTTTAACGCTATTTTTAATGCTATTTTAATGCTATTTTAAATGTATTTTTAATGTTATTTTTAATGCTATTTAACACTAATTTTATGCCATTTTTAACACGATTTTTAATGCTATTTTTATGCATTTTAACCCAATTTTTATGCTATTTTTAACCCAATTTTTATTGCTATTTTTAACGCTATTTTAAATGTGTTTTTAAATGTTATTTTTAATGCTATTTTTAGCCCCATAAATGGGTCAGGGGTGTGGGGATGGTGGAATTCCCTCCCTTTTCCCAGGAATTCGGTTCCACCCCACCTGTGCTCACTCCGCCCTTAGTTCTGGTTTAAATTCCAGAGCCCGGCTTAGCCCTGATCCCAGTTTAACCCTCTGGGGGCTGCCATGGAATGCCAGGATGGTTTGGGGTGGAAAGGACCTTAAATCCCATAAATCCCGTAAATCCCGTAAATCCCATCCCATAAATCCCATAAATCCCATAAATCCCATGGATCCCATCCCATAAATCCCATCCCATCCCATCGATCCCATAGATCCCATCCCACAAATCCCATGGATCCCAACCCATAAATCCCATGGATCCCGTGGATCCCATCCCATCCCATAAATCCCATCCCATAAATCCCATCCCATCCCATCCCATTGATCCCATGGATCCCATCTCATAAATCCCATGGATTCCATCTCATAAATCCCGTGGATCCCATCCCATAAATCCCATAGATCCCGTGGATCCCATCCCATCCCATGAATCCCATCCCATCCCACGGGAGTTTCTGCCCCATTCCCGATTGGAATTTCCCCCATTCCTGGTTGGAATTCCCCCATCCCCATTCCTGGTTGGAATCCCCCCCATTCCCGGTGGGAATTCCTGCCCCATTCCTGATTGGAATTTCCCCATTCCCAGTTGGAATTCCCCATCCCCATTCCCGGTGGGAATTTCTCCCCCATTCCTGGTGAAAACACCCTCATTCCATGAAGGAATTTCTGCCCCGATTGGAATTTCCCTCATTCCCGGTTGGAATTCCCCCGTTCCCGGTTGGAATTTCCCCCATTCCCGGTGGGAATTTCTGCCCCATTCCCAGTGGGAAATTCCCCCATTTCCGGTTGGAATTGCCCCATTGCCAGTGGGAATCACCCCCATTTACTGTGGGGATTTCTCCCCCATTCCTGGTTGGAATTCCCCCATCCCCATTCCCGGTTGGAACCGCCCCATTCCCGGTGGGAATTCCTGCCCCATTCCCTGAAGGAATTCCTATTCCATTCCCTCTGGGAATTCCTGCCCCGTTCCCAGTGAAAACGCCCCCATTCCCGGTTGGAATTTACGCCCTCATTCCCGGTGGGAATTTTTGCCCCATTCTCAGTGGGAATTCCCCCATTCCCGATTGGAATTCCCCCATTCCCAGTTGGAATTCCCCCATTCCCAGTGGGAATTCCCCCATCCCCATTCCCAGTGGGAATTCACCCATTCCCTGAAGGAATTCCTATCCCATTCCTGGTGGGAATTCCTGCCCCATTCCCGATTGGAGTTTCCCCCATTCCCGGTGGGAATTCCCCCCATTCCCGGTGGGAATTTTTCCCCCATTCCCAGTGAAAACGCCCTCATTCCCAGTGGGAATTTCTGCCCCATTTCTGAATGAAAACRCCCCCATTCCGTGAAGGAATTTCTGCCCCATTCCCAGTGAAAATGCCCCCAATCCCTGGAGGAATTTCTTCCCCATACCCTGAAGGAATTCCTATCCCATTCCCGGTGGGAATTTTTTCCCCATTCCCGGTTGGAATTCCCCCATTCYCGGTGRGAATTCCTGCCCCATTCCCGAYTGGAATTTCCCCCATTCCTGGTTGGAATCGCCCCCATTCCCGGTGGGAATTTCTGCCCCATTCCCAGTGAAAATGTCCCCATTCCTGGTGGGAATTGTCCCCATTCCCAGAGGGAATTTCTGCCCCATTCCTGGATGAAAACGCCCCCATTCCGTGAAGGAATTTCTGCCCCATTCCCTGAAGGAATTCCTATCCCATTCCCTCTGGGAATTCCTGCCCCATTCCCAGTGAAAACGCCCGCATTCCCAGTGGGAATTTTTGCCCCCATTCCCAGTGAAAATGCCCCAAATTCCTGTTCTCGGTGTGAATTTCTCCCCCATTCCCAGTGGGAATTTCTCCCCATTCCTGATGAAAATGCCCCAAATTCCCATTCCCGGTGTGAATTTCTCCCCCATTCCCAGTTGGAATTTTCCCCATTCCAAGTGAAAATGCCCCAAATTCCCGTTCCCTGTGTGGATTTCTGCCCCATTCCCAGTTGGAATTTTCCCCATTCCCAGCGAAAATGCCCCAAATTCCCGTTCCCGTGTCCCCACGCACCCGTCCAGGATGGATTCCCGGCAGCAGTACAAATTGTCGAATTTCTGTTTGGTGACGGAGTCGTTGACGTTCATGGCGGGGACACAGAGCTTCCCTGCCTTGGAGAGCTGGTACAGCCTGGAA